ATCTGATTCTTGAGTTACACATTAAAAGACTGAATATTTTTTCTGAACACTAAAAGTAAATTTTACACATCTTCTAATCCTCAACTTATGGATCGCTAAATCATTCTCTCCCCAGAAATATCCAACACTATCGTGCGAACAGAAATTCCTCCAATTGTGTGCTTGCTTACTATTTCATATCAACAGAAGACTTTCCAGTGATTATGAATAACGGGCAGGAATGCAATGCACCTGTTCAAAGATGAAAAAAGGCCATCTCTGATACATTTTATTTTTATCCGATCAGAAAAACTGGGGTTCTCTCCAGATATGTTTGCGACTCAATCTTAAGCAACATACTAATACTTCATTTCAATTATACTGACGAACAAAAAACAATAAGAGATCCAAAAAACAACAACACATTGATATTGAATCCAAGTGCACACTGAAAAGAACCAATTCAAGCTCAGTTCAATCATAAAAGGTATGACACAAAGGTAAGTAAATGAGACCTAATGTTATAAAAAGTAACACAGCAGCTTCAAAATTTTATAACCATAGAGGCGACATTACTTACCCGATTGAAAAATCGAAACAGTTCCTGCTTTTAAAGTATGCCAAGGAGGTTGCATCATCAGCTGACCCGGCCTGAAGGGGTGACTGGTTGAATATTTTGCAAGAATGGAATGCCCGATGGTTTTATTGCAGTGTAGTGGATGAAGGTTTTGTTTCTCTAAATAAACAGAACTTTTTGATGTATAATTCATCATAGCCACAAGTCCCATAACTAATAATTTCAATTAGCTAAGCTCCATGAACCTCAGATTCACCATTGTATCTTGCAGTAGAATCAATTTGGATGGCAGCATGGGCTAGCCAAGTTCTTGACTCGATAAAAATATTAGAGAGTTTTAAGAGTCGTAAAGCTTACTACAAAAGAAGAATTTGAATTGTTTTGGTCAATAAATTCATCAAACAAGCAACCATTTTACGATGCTTGCGTTGTAAAAATTGGAAACTGATTAACTTAACAAGTGATTGACACAAACTTTAAGCTAGCTTTCAGCTTTGCTACCAAAGTAATCAAGGTGGGAAACTTGCATTTGAATCCAAGCAAGGAGTTCTAGATAATATGGTTCTTAATTTTCATTCATATTTTTTTACTATCAAGTCCTACGATTTGGTAAAACAATATACGGAAAAAGTCAATTCACTTGAATTTCTGAAATGAATGGTACACTCTACTGAACATAATTGGAAAGGACAAGAAAACGAGACATGATAAACATTTGTTTTTGTCATATCTTTGCCGAAGGATAGAAGCACTAGGTGGAATTGGTGAACTACAGTTGCTTCTGGATAGACCTGTGGGACAAAGGGCTCGTGTTACCTGCTTCCGAACATTCCTCATTTGATTTGAGAACCTTGTGAACTGAGAGCTGATCATATCAAATATATTCTTTTGACGTGTTCAATTAGAAGATTGTGGTAGCAAAGGAGTATATAAAAGAAGGTAAAAGATCAAACTTGGTTTTATTATAGTTGCATGGAAAAATTTAGTGTTGTCATAATCATATTAAGACATCACAAATTAAGTTTGATGAAATGATTAACGTCAGCAAATGAATGATTAGGTTACGATTATGTTTAATTTATTCACTGCAACTTGCCAAACCAACATTAAATGTCACTGAAGCTCGCTCCAAGGGTCGTCGAATCAGTGTGTTTCAAGCTCAGTTTCACATTATCTTTCTCTACCAAACAACCAATTCAAACGGCTCTAATCCACAACCGATATATCCACCTCGGTCAGGGGCGGAGCTAGAAAAAAAAATTCAGTGCGGGCACAATTTTTTTCTCCCACCAACTTTTCTCACATGGAGGAAGCTGCTTCCGGTTTTCCAGAGTTACTGAACTACACATGGCCGAGTTTAGTAAAACATATTTTTACCGAAGCTACTCCACACCAATCATTATTCTTTCCCAAAGTTGAGTGCATACATGGCTCCGCCCGTGACCTCAGTTGCTTCTCAATCTCACCCACAAAGAATAAGATAATGGTAATGATTCGTAGCCACAAAGGCAAGACGAAACACCATGAAACAAGGCAAGGAAGAGACCACAAAGTGAAAGGGAAGTCGCTGGTTTGTGGCACCACAAAGGCAGCCCCTTTTTTGTCTCTCAATGGCAGCCACTTTTTCTCCTCTCAAAACACACAAATCACACACTCAAAAAAGGCTAGGGGTAAGCTCATATATAAGTATTGTTAGGTTAGGCTTTTAGTTGAACCAATAACAAGGCTAAATGGACCAAAATTCAAAGTCATTCAAGAGATAATATAAATAGGCTGGGTAGAGCGTTTGAACTTAGTTGTTGCTAATAATTTCAGTTTGAGACCTATGAAATATATTCCCACATTTAACATCATAGCCCGATATTTATTGAATATCAAAACCCAACTTTAAAGTATTTTATTCTCAGCGGTCATTTCGTAAAGCAAATAAAACACTGCAATCCCGTAAAAGTAACCGAAATTAGAAGATGAATGCTGCATAAAGTTTTCTCTCAAATATTAATACAAAATTCAAGACATTCTCTGTCAAAATAACATCATATGCTTTGTCAAAATAACATCATATTCGTTGTCAAAATGTCAAAATAACATCACATACTTTTTGTCAAAATAACATCACATACTTTTTCTATCTTTCGTATAAGATTTGCCAATCCAAAACCTGTAAGAATTTAAGCTAAAGTCACATCTTATCCTTTATCTATTCAAGATTACATTGTTTGCTTCTTCTGCAATGCCTTGCAATTCAGCCTATTTAAATGTGAAAAAAACACTCAGAATACATGCACAAATATATGAGTTGATGGTTTAAGATGTCTAAGAGGGTTTACATTGAGTTGCTTCCACTGTACAGTCTTTTTCTTTTCCTTACCTTTGCAGGTCTTGAAATTGCCTATGGGAATCGTTTTATTGCAGTGTAGTGGATGAAGGTTTTGTTTCTCTAAATAAACAGAACTTTTTGCTGTATAATTCATCATAGCCACAAGTCCCATAACTAATAATTTCAATTAGCTAAGCTTCATGAACCTCAGATTCACCATTGTATCTTGCAGTAGAATCAATTTGGATGGCAGCATGGGCTAGCCAAGTTCTTGACTCGATAAAAATATTAGAGAGTTTTAAGAGTCGTAAAGCTTACTACAAAAGAAGAATTTGAATTGTTTTGGTCAATAAATTCATCAAACAAGCAACCATTTTACGATGCTTGCGTTGTAAAAATTGGAAACTGATTA